TCCATTCTCCCTACAAAACAACTTGTCCCACTAACCTCAAAGAAAAATATTCATTTGAAGCACCCAAAAATATATATCCCTAAGGGAATGTGACCACTTAGTTTGCCCAATTTTTAAGGATTTTGCTTTGCCCTTTACCTCTGAAAGCATTTTTCATGCATCTGTCTCCATCAGCATAGTTTTGAAGCAAGCACTGGCTGTAAAAAAGCAGAAAGAAGTAAGCTGGCCATTCACAGCAATTTGGAAAATTGGAGTTAATTTGCAAAAAAAAAAAAACCAGTGATGCTTAAGAGGAAACTTTGGCAAGCAAAAAGCTATGGAAAGAGGGAATCTGAGATTGCCTTCCCAATGGATTCAAGTTCTAGAAGTATCAAGCAAAAATTTATGAAAGCTGACCTCTTGAGGCACCTATCAGCTGAAACTGGTGTTGTGAGTGCTCATACTTTCGACAGCTATGCCCTAAGTGATCACTCCATATGACTCAACCAGAAATTATAAAATAATTTATCCTAACTAATGTTCTGATATTGCAGATGAGCATCTCCAACATCCTTGCTACTAGCCACAACTTGGCCAGCCAACAGCTCTGGAGACACCAATACAACTCCTGGCTTCTTCCCCAAGACCTGGTAAAGAACCAGGGCAACTTTCCCTCCCGCACCATGGGAAACCCCTCACCCCATGTACTCAACAGAAAGCCTCCTTGAGCAAGCAAGCATGTTAACTGCAGGCTGTGCCAGGAGGAGGAAGAAGTGAGGAAGGGCTGAGCCAGCCTGCTGCAGCAGCACAACAGCAACAAGAAGCAAGTCGAAAACTAATGATGCTGCCTCCTGCTTCCCAGTGGCTGCAGGCTGCAGGTGTTACTCCACCATTACTTTAAAAATAGCTCTCCCCCAAAAGAGCATATTAGCTGGAGATGTTAATGTTTAATTAGTCAGTAACACATGGAGTATGATAACAAAATAATCAGGCCATATAACTTTAAGTGTGTACATTTGGTTTATCATAAGAAAGAGATTACTCACATACATTCACATGATTTGCTGTATTTGTTATACACACGCTGTGGCTTTTCACTGTCGTCTTTACAACAAAAAAGTAAGCATAAGAATTCACACAACTCAAGACTTCACACCAATCTATTCATTTTGAGCTATTTTGGACTTTACATCTGGCAAAGGTATTCCAGTCAGTCACTGTAGAACACTTGCACCCTTAACTTGTATGGGACCACTCACATACTTAAGCATAAATGTATGACTAAATGTTGGCAGAATCAAGGCATTAAGGTATCTCTACACATTTTTACCACCTTTTCCCATGATCTGTAGTTTACTTAGAGAGTCACAACCTTATTAAACTCTTAATGAAAGCATAACAGTCATAACAGACAATTTTCTAAGTGAAAGTTCATTTTCTTTAAAGAAAATGGCTTAAAGGGAGAGCTGAGACCTCATGGGAATTGAGTATGAGTGCTTTTTCCCCTTGTTACAAATCCCCCTTGACTCTTCCCCACTGAAACTACTGGAAATGTTGGCACTGATTTCAACAGACCCAAAAATGTTTTTTTATTTAAGCAGCTTATACATGGGCAGATAATAGAATGGGGAAAATACGTGTGTCAGCATAGTAAAGCTCTACTAAAAATAATCTTTACAGTCATAAAATATCCTTGTGAATAAAACTGCATGTCAACAAAGAAGAGACAGATCACTTGGGAGCGGGAGACACCTCTATCACATGATGCTCTGTATTAAAATACCTGTGGATCCAAAAATATAGGTCTAACACCTTTCTTTGTGTAAAGCCTTTAGGTGCGAACCACTGTTGAAACTGGAAATACCCTGTGAACTCTGGTGTTCCATTAAAAATTGTTTACAAATGGCTGTGTGAACTGAGCTAAAACCTTTCCATCCATCCTCCTCCTGACCTAATATCAAAGCTATTTTGGCCTCATACACAGAAATCACAGATCAGCTGGTAGGGGAGTGTTCAGCACACTCTTTAAAACATGGACACAGCTGGGCTAGGAGCTCCTGCCCCACAGTCCTGTAGTGCTGGGTTGCCCAAGGGTGGGATTTGCCCAGTTCATGCTGCAAACATCATCTTCACTGTGTCCCGATACACATCACCAGGCAGATCTGGCTTGTGACAGGTAAAGGAGGTCCTGCTCTCAAGGTACTATTCTGGGGGCTTCTGAAGAGAAAATCTTCATGGCATTTTTACATCTCTTTACTGCTTTAGAGATTAAGGTATGGGGAAGTAAATAATGCCCACGTATATCTCCTAAAATATTATTTTGACTGCCTAACCCTTTTTCTTGCACAGTGGCTTTACAGAAATACTTTCCAAAAACTACAGATTTTACTAAAGGTGTTAGAATGAACATAAGTAAAACAGTTTTTGCAACAAATGCTTCTTTTATTACCCAGCTAATAGGATGGGAATTTGTAAGTCCTCAAACCAAAACTTCCATGCTTGCAGTCATCTACTCAGCTGTCTTTTACAGCTGAGTAAAATCATCACCACAATGTATTTCATTTTCAAAGCTGAAAAAAAATGAAACTACAGATTACCTATTGAGAATGCAATGATTTGTATAATAGGACCTTTTAAGGTTACGATATTAGAGTTGCTTCCTGTTCACCCAGTTAAATCTGCTTTTTTTCACCTGCTCCAGCACACTTGCTTTGCCACAGCTAAAGTGAAACCCCAGAGACAGAGAATCCTTCATGTCCTAAAACCTGAACAAGTCATTGTCCAATAAAGACTAAATAGGAAGCAAACATCTAAATCCTTTATGAGAAATGCTACTTTTGTGATAAAACCAAACTGAATGACCATTAGGATGCACGCCTGCAATAAGAGGGGGAATATTATAACAACAATGCATGTGCAATTTATTTTAAAATATAGATTAAAATAATTCATACATGTCATTGCTGATCATTATAACTAAGTTAATATTTGTATAATGCCTTGAAAATAGCAATGCTGAAACCAGCAGGTACCTAGCTATATGGCAGCTGACATACAATCCAGCCCCGGCATGGGGACATAGCACAGTGATGTGGGTAGTCACTTGTCCTGACAGCACTGAACTCAGACCTGTTCTCAGGTCCAGACTCAGACCCAGAACTGACCTCTTAGAATTACACGGAGGGGTTTTCTTCCTAATGTAAAGGTGATTATTTTTTTTAACTATACTCACACATATGTCTCAGTAACAATAAAAATCAGGCCTCATTAACAGAAGAGTCCAAAATGTAAGACCACACTTTGTTGGTATAAACACCCATTTCTGAAACATATGAAAGAATCCTACCCCGGCTCAACTGTCAAGAAAACAACAAATTGTCAAAGAACAGCGCTGTAACATCACATGAAACTGCACTGAATCAAATTTAACTACAAATTACATTGCTATACTGCAATTGTGTTATTAGTAACATAATACGTGCCCCCCAAAAAAAAAACAGGTTTGACTATTTAAAAACACTAGATACATGCCAAATTAGGAAAACAAATTGTACTTTTGAATTTGCAGCCTGAAGATGTGCCATACCACACAGTCTGACAACACAGAGATCTGAAAATAATGCCACAAGTGTTCAACAGTGAAAACAGGGAGATCCTCTTACATCTGTGGACTGGAGGTCAACCTCTGAGTCTTGGGTTTAGTCAGGGAACTCTGCATTGGAAATCTTGCATATCTTACACTTCTTGATGCTCCTTAGCAAACTATAAGAGGATGAGCAGCCAACTTACCCTTAATTAGTGTGACCATCTAAAGGTCATTACCCACTGTCTCAGCAGAGGTGTTTTGTCATTGACACGGCAAAATCCGCAAAGCCATTTGAAATCATGACTTTTTAACTATCTTACAATTCAAGCATCGAGTTGAAACACTGCTAACGGTAACTTCTGGTCATGAAACTTAATGCTAATCCAGTTTTGAAAAGGGATAAAAATCTTCTCTGCCTCTTTCAACACCATGCAGCATCACGCCTGAAGTCATTGCCCAAGCACTGACACTCCATCCCAAGTGGAAAAGGGTGACCACTTTTATACCTCAAGCTACCAGGACGATGCAGGGATTTGTTTGTGGTCAGGGCAGCCTTTGCCCTCATAAACTGCTTTTGGTGATCATGTGCCACCATGGTGCCTAGCTGGGTGTCGGATCCCAGATTACTGTGCAAGGCAACAATTTTTTCATCCTTCTTCATCACTTCTGCATCCCGCTGGAACAATGGGGATGTTTTGTTGATTGATCTAGTTAATACTGGCTATTTATAATAAATAAATCTGAAATGGAAATTAGGCAGTACTAAACAGTTAACTGGGAAACCTCATTGCCACAAACTGGATGGAGAATTTCATCAAACAAAAACATTCTTCTCCCACTACAAAGAGCAGTGTGTGACCAACTTGCCAAGCAACAGCTATCAAGAAATAATGCCATATTCTTTTAATACATTTGTCCACATTGTACAGTATCTGCAGCCCAACATCGACAACATCCAAGCTAAATGAATAAATATTTGCATTGCAAAGTTGGATTTGTCTTGGAATACGATCGCTCCTCATGCGGTTTTGACACATGTGCATTGTCAAATAAATCACAGCTCGCTGTGTGCGCGCATTAAAAATAATTTGTGCATCTTGTTAGAAGCCATCGCATACTTCTCTTTACGAGGTGTGAAACTGGCAGGGGAAGGTATTACACACCGGGGACAACTGCAGATGCAGCCTCTTTGAGGGAAGATCAAATGCTGCCATTGCCCCACCATCATTGTGGAGCTCAGTTTCCCATGGTGGCCTCCACAATACGCCCGCCGCAGCCCGGGCTGTGCCCTGTCCTCCCGCGGGCACTCACCACCCCTGGGTGGGAGGCGCAGGTGGGAAACCTGCGGGGCCGCCCCGTCCTGGAGATCGTCGGCCCCGGTGCCGGGAGAGGGTGGAGCGGCGGGTTCCCGTCCCTGGGGGGCGGGCGGGCTTACCTCGGATTTCCACACGACGTAGGCGGTGGGGCGAGGTCCGGGCGGCGAGGGCTGCCCCTTCCTCTGCTGCAGCCAGCGCCGCGGCGACGAGAAGATGCTGTTGGCAGGTCCGCTCAGCGCTGAGGCCGACGGGGTGCGCGCCAGAAAGGGCAGCTCGCAGCCGGCACTCCGCTTCCCTCGGGGGCTCTCCTCGTCGAAGAGGACGCTGCCCGGCGGCGACCGCTCCAGCGGGGTGCTGGGGGTGGAGAATGAGGCGCCGGGGGCAGGCGGCGGGCCCCGAGGGGTGCGACGGTCCCCCGGGGGGCTGCCGGAGGCCCGCGGCCGCGGCACCCGGCCCGCGCCCTCGCTGTCCTCCCGTCCACCGCCGATGATGGCGGGGTCGAGGCTGCGCGTCTGGCGGAGCCTCCGCTTGGAGAGGCTCTTGGCGGCGGCGGGAGCGGCGGCGGCCGTGGAGGAGCAGGAGAAGACGCTGCTCAGGAGGCTCTGTGCCGACATAGCGGCGGCCGCTGTCCCGGGCACCCCGTGGATGACCGGGGGTCCTGGGCTCTCGGTGCCCCTGCCTCCGGTAGCGGTGCGCCTTCGGGGCGTCTCCCGCCCCCGGGCTCAGCCCGCAGCAGCGCGGCCCGACGGCGGCACCAAGGGGCTCATGTCGGCGTCCGGTACTCAGACTGCTCCGGAGCTGCTGCCGCCGCCGCGGTCACTTTGTTGGGAGGGAGAGGGAGGGAAAGGGAAAAGGAAAAAGAAAAAAAAAAAAAAAAGTTACGAGAGAAAAGGGGAGGGAAGGAGGCAGCAGCGCCGCAGGCTGCCAGAGTCACTCCCCCCCCCGCCGCGATGCGCACAGAAGCTGCTTGCCGCGCCCCCGCCCCGTCGGGTCTGGGGTGGCAGGGCCCGCCTGCTTCCCTCCGAGGGCGGGAGACTTAGTCCCCGTGTGGCCCACGTCGGGGCGCGGCGGCGGGCAGCCCCACCAGGCTTCGCGAGCACCGGGGCCGCGGCTGCCCGGCGCTGCCCCGCGCGGCCCCGACGGGGCGCTGCGTCCCCACTGGCACCGTGCGGGTGCGTTCTGGGGAGGGAGCAAGTTGCTTTTCGGCGCAATCGCTCCGGAGGCACAGCCGGGGGACTCCCTCGCCTGAGTATGCGAAGTCCAGCGCCGCTTCACCGTTGCGCCGACGCCCGGTGGGAAGAGCGGGGCTGCCGGTCCTAGGTGTGACGCGCATATTCTCCCGTTCGTGTCGGGAGAAGCTGTTGCCTTTAAGAAAAACTCATAGCTATAGGCAGGATGCTCAGAGCGTGCAGTACATACGACTGCAGGGCTATCAGGACTGGGTCTTCAGAGAAGCTCAACCAGCGATTATGTTCTGGCCCAAGTGTGTTTTCATCCTTTGCCAGTTTGACAAGATGGACTTACATATTTAACCACAACGGACACTTACTTTGCTCTGCTACTCCTGTGTGACAGTCTGTGCAGAAGGACCCCGCATAGAGGTCATGAGTCCACATGGACATAAGTCCCACAGGTAGCATGGGTCACCCAAGATATCTAACTCTTCTGGTGGGAACCTCACAGCAGCAGAACGAAAGGAAAGGGACCAGTGAAGCTAAAGCTCCATGGGACAAATAAACTTGCTTGATCCTGTGTAGAGACTTTCTCTGCTCTCTTCAAGCATAGGCACAGAAACCTTTAGCAGGAGAAAGGAACAAACTTGAGAAAGCCCAAACTGTACAGAAACACAGGAGTGGAACACGTGAAGAGGAAGAACACTGCACAGCACCATGAAGGCTGGCAGCCATCAAGCCAGCTCAGTCCCTACCTGGGCTGCAGGAAACAGACCCTCAGCTACAGGATCCGACTCCTGCCCTCCTCTCCTGGTGGGGATCTTTAGAGTCTCCTCTCACTGGAAGCAGTTCAATGGCAATGGTTGTCAGGTTCTTTACAGAAAACCCACACCATATTTAGTGTTTCAGCTTTATTAAGCCACAGCTGTTACCTGCATGGGTGAGTTCAAATCTGTTTCATATTTGTCAGTGAAGACTACAGCCATTAAATTTTTTGAGATGAAAGACAAAACACACCCAAACCCTGTTCTGCTTCAAGACCTATTCTTTTACTTATGTAGGGAATGGAAGACATTTAAGGACAGACTAGCTAAGAGCTTCGATGCAAGTCTTGAATCTCACCTGTTTCAGACGAAACTACTGTTAAGATTACTGATTCCATGGGGCCTAAGCATCCTTCTTTTGATCTGAGAAGCCACAAGCTCCATGGTCTCCCCAAAAGTATCACAGACAACTCTTAAAATTCCATAGAAAAAGGCAGACTATTTTGAAAAACATACCCAAGCACAACACAGGGGTTGTTTTTCTTAATTTCCATGCTGCGTTTTCTCCTCAAACCCTAGTGCAGGGTTGTGTGTCCTCCCAGGTGTTCTTGGAGCCCATGCAGGTAAGTGCTCCCTGGCAGCATTTTCTAGTTTCATCAATAGAGGGAGTAGACATCATCAAGAGGGAGTTCTCTCCTTTGTGGCATTATTAAAGGTTCATGAAGAGAAACAGCGCACTGGCCTGTCTGCTTTCAAAAGGAGGTGTTCTGGTCTTATGTTTCCAAATGGGATTATATTTTTTTTTCCTGAAAAGGAGCTTTTCCTTCTTATTGTAATAAGCTGTTCTATTACCTAATTCCAAAGCCTACTAGTTCCTCCACATCTAGGGTTGCAGCTGTTTCTGTTTAAAGCTTCATTTTGCCTCCTCATTAATGCCTTCAATAACATCTCATGCTCGAGACTTGAAAGAAGTTCTGAAGCATAAAACTATGATTTGAGTCTGCTTCTGCAGTTCTGTGCCCATGCTAGCAATTTGGTTAAGAGACACATGTCTACAGTACAGCTATACAGATGTGTGTCTCCAAGTATACACCTTTTTTATCCTCTACAAATATATAATGGAAAAATAAAGGCAGAGAAAACCATGAAGAATAAGGCAGAGGGGCAAATTCAGAGCTGTGAGGAGCTTATCACATGAAGAACAGCGAGGATAGTCACGCCTGCCTCCAAAATTTGCTGGAAACTGTTCCTGACATTCTCAGTAAGGTGAACAGCCCACTTGTCAGCTTAGGAGTAGCTACTTAAATGAAGTGGGAGCAAAGCATTCTTATTTTCACCTGCTTCACCCAGGTATTACTATGGCACAGCTGGTTTTCTCCATGAAAGCCCTCATAAAAAATTGGAGTGTAGTTTTCATGAGACAGAGACCTGGAGAATCACAGCTCAAATTCAGTGAGTAAACACAGCATATGTATAGAGATGCTTCACATAGACAACGTTACTACCTGTCGTAGCTGCTGTTGGTATCTTTGGGGCAATACCAATGTAAGTGCTTACTGATTATTTTTTAAATTGCTGTTTATTATCACTGTGAACTGCATTATTGAGAGACCTGACAACACCACACCACCCAAGCAGCTAGACTCTGAGGCTCTGGTGAGCATTGTACAAGCACAGAACAAAAGGAAAGTCCTACTCCCCAAACCTCCAGCCACAAGAGCTATGCAGCCATACATGCAGAGGGATAGTGACACAATACTAGTCTTCAGCCTTTCTCTTCCAAAGCAAAGCTCTTTGTGTTACTGCTGCCTGTAAGACTGCAATATCAATCAAGGAATTAGGCAGTCCTTCCTGGAGCTGTGAGTAGCAATATAGGCAGTGGATGTGCTGACTTCTGAACCTAGAAGGGTTTTCCTAACAGTTTCCATTATCATATTTGTTTACAGTGACAGTTTCAACTTGATGAGGATGTTTATTCTTTGCTCTGTCTGATTGCCTGTCACCACCTTGTGAAGAAGCCAGCCAACTTACAGCAACGTTAATGATCCCTCCTCAGTTTCAAGTCTGTATTTCTGAAAGGGAGCAAGAGTGATATGGATCTATAATACACTAAGAATTCAGAAATATTTTGAAGGATAAGCATATTTGACAGTTATGATTTTCCAGTCATTGGGTTTATTCTGAAATATTTTAAGTTTTAGCATACAGAGCAGAAATATATAAGAATTCCCCATGCTTCACCTGCTTTAATCCATGGATGATAGGAAAGCAGTGAACAGGAGACTTCGGGCATGGTCTCCCACATCTGCCTTGTTGAAACAATTAAAGACATATTTGATCATAATGATGAATGGTTCATACTCTACCTGTAAGCTGTTTACAAGTGAAGTTCTTCAGAAGCCTATCTTGAGACCTGTCCTGTTTAATATACATATCAACAGCCTTGAGGAGGACAGAGTTCACTCTCGTCCAGTTTTTGGACAACATCAAATTACAGAATCATAGAATCATAGAATAGTTAGGGTTGGAAAGGACCTTAAGATCACCAGGTTCCAACCCCCATGCCATGGGCAGGGACACCTCACACTAAACCATGTCACCCAAGGCCTCGTCCAACCTGGCCTTGAACACTGCCAGGGATGGAGCATTCACAACCTCCCTCGGCAACCTATTCCAGTGCCTCTCCACCCTAACAGGAAAGAATTTCCTCCTTATCTAATCTAAACTTACCCTGTTTCAGTTTAAACCCATTACCCCTTGTCCTATCACTACAGTCCCTAATGAAGAGTCCCTCCCCAGCATCCCTATAGGCCCCTTTCAGATACTGGAAGGCTGCTATGAGGTCTCCATGCAGCCTTCTTTTCTCCAGGCTGAGCAGCCCCAACTTTCTCAGCCTGTCTTCATATGGGAGGTGCTCCAGACCCCTGATTATCCTCATGGCCCTCCTCTGGACTTGTTCCAACAGTTCCATGTCCTTTTGATTTTGAGGACACCAGAACTGCACACAATACTCCAAGTGAGGTCTCACGAGAGCAGAATAAAGGGGCAGGATCACCTCCTTCAACCTGCTGGTCACGCTCCTTCTGATGCAGCCCAGGATACGGTTGGCTTTCTGGGATGCAAGCGCACACTGAAGCCGGCTCATGTTCATTTTCTCATTGACCAGCACCCCCAAGTCCTTCTCTGCATGCCTGCTCTGAATCTCTTCTCTGCCCAGCCTGTAGCTGTGCCTGGGATTGCTCCGACCCAGGTGTAGGACCTTGCACTTGGCATGGTTAAACTTCATGAGGTTGGCATCAGCCCACCTCACAAGTGTGTCAAGGTCCCTCTGGATGGCATTCCTTCCCTCCAGCGTATCAACCGAACCACACAGCTTGGTGTCATCGGCAAACTTGCTGAGGGCGCACTCAATCCCACTGTCCATGTCAGGAACAAAGATGTTAAACAAGACCGGTCCCAACACCGATCCCTGAGGGACACCACTCGTTGCTGGTCTCCAGCTGGACATTGAGCCATTGACCACAACTCTTTGTGCGGCCACCCAACCAGTTATGTATGGTATACAGTCAATATATTCCAGGAAACGGCTGCCATTCAGAGGGGCCTAGATAGGCCAGATGAATGGGAAGACAGGGGTTTTATGATAGTCAGAGAGGACAAATGCACTTGATGAGGACTAATCCCCAGCATTTTCATGGGCTAGGGACTGACAGGCTAGGGAGCAGCTCTGATGGGAAGGAACCTCTGATGGGAAGGACCAAACATAATCCACCAGGGAGCCCTGGCAGGGCTGAGAGCTAACAGCATCCTGGGCTGCATCAACAAAAGCATAGTCAGTAGACCAAGGGAAGTGATTATTTGATTTTACATAGCATTCAACAGACCTTATC